GTCGTTGCTCTTGACATCCACTATTTTGTCCCTTACACCTGTGATGGTGGCAGGTCCAATCCATTCTTTACTTCTTTCTTGATAGACAAGTACTTCTTGACCTATTTCAAATACAAAATCGGTTGCAGTTGGGATGTTTCTGGTAAGAGCAGGAAGGATGCGCCTCTCTGCTACTACTGCATTCATCTCCATTTGAGCCTTTGAAAGTGCAAGCATCCTTTCCTTCTGAGCGAGTATATCTGAGCTAATGATTGGGAATCTTGGTATTATCCCGAATACGACTATTGAGAGAACTAACTCGTTATCTCCGTTGGTATCGTTCATGGCCTTGATTGACAATTTCAATGCAATGTTGCGGTCAATTTGAGGAAAGTCTAATATTATCTTTCGATATATTCTTCGGAGGGGTGCATGTAGCCTTTCTCCAATGCCCAATGAGTTGTGAGCTTCGACTCCCGAAATCAGGAGCTCTATCCCGACGCTTTTGGCCATTTCTTTCCATCTAGGTGAAGTGAAAACGCAGCCGGCATCAGTTCTGATGCGGTTAGGAAATCCCGTATAGAGAGTACACCACGCCTCAACGAAGGCAAGCCATATTCCGTTGACTGACTGTCCATAATTGTGACCCGGAGAGTCTAAAAATATGGCCGAACTGAATCGAGTTGCGGTGTCGACTATATGCAGAATTGCTTTTCCTTCAACGAACATAAGATCCATTGATATTTCTTCACCGAACTTAACTTCTTGCAGTGCGGGTAACGTGGTCTTGAATCTTGTTGGTTGTGATCCAAGCCTTTCACAGGTATTGCAATACTTAGAAATCTCTTTCAGGACTTTTGTGGTGGTCTCTGTAGCCTCGTGCGGTCGTGCTCTTCTTATGGGATTCAGAAGTTTCATGTCCGTTGGGTGTCGAAACCCTCTATGAAGCTTGACCAGTTCTCTTCTTGAGAATAGTATTGCGTCTGTCTCTTTTCATTCCAGGTAGACATGTCCAAACTTCCTCACCACTGGCACAGAAATTCTTCCCGGGGAGCTGATCAGTTCATTTCTTGTCGTATCCAGGTATAGGTGCAGTTTATCGAGCCAGTCTAATCCTAAGAGAAAAGGGACATTTGCTTTTACTACGTCTACATCCCTTGGCACAAATCCATTTTTGAGGAATGGCAATCGGATTGAGATCGATCCTATCGACTTCTGCACGTCAACACCAAATCTGTACTGGTTAAAGTTCCTTTTTGGTTTGAACTTGCATCCAACAAATCTGCAATATGCTTTTGCTTGACTTAGCCCAATGACAGTACGTTGAGCTCCAATATCGATACAAGCCCCCTGCCAATCTTGTTTCCGGGGCTTTGAGTAGTTACTCACTTGCGAAATTCCTCGGCTGGTGCTCAATACGGAGCAAGTCTTTGCATCGTTTGACACTTTTCTGAGACGACGATTCCTTCGTATTTCATGGGCTGTCATTGATCTTCGCGAAATTTTGTACCGGGACCTTTTTTTCGTGAGGACAGTCTCGTAGTAAGGGTCCTTTCCTTTTGACTTCAGACTACGACGGTAAATTAGACTGCCTCTCCTCAAAAATCCTCTGGATCAAGAACAGATGCTATTCCCCGGTTCTCAGAACCAGTGACGTGGAATGTTTGCCCTCGTGTATCAGAAGGCTGATGACTCTCTTCCTCAGATGAGGTGGAGTCTTCTTGCTTGATGTTTTCCTCTGCAATGGCGGCTGAGGGGTCTCCTTCGTCCGTAGAGAACAAGGCGTCTTCAACTTGTTGGCAGAGTTCGAAAAAGATCTCGTGGCTTTTTTTCGGATATTTCCTGGCTTGTGATGCAACATTTCGCATAGCGTTGCGAGGTTTGGGGCAGTCCCTGATGAAATGATTAGGATCCCGACAATTGTTGCATAGCCTAGGGTTCCCGTAACGGTCCAACCCATTTTGACCGGCCTTGGCACCCTGGTGAGAAGGGCGAAACGGCGCAGATGAACGTGATCCCGGTTTCCTCGGTCTTCCATAATACCTCTGGCCTTCGTAGTAAAGATCTGGAGTATACTTCGATGTGGACTTCATATCTTTATGCAGGATGGATTGACCAAGGTTCATATCTTTCTTTCTGCCCTCTTCTTCTTCCTGGTCTTGAAGCCAGGCGGCGTCTAATGCTGTATAGAGTTGTTGGAAATCCCAGGGATCAGCTGTTGATTGCGAGTTTGCTAGTGCTGATTTAGCCCACGGCGCGCCAACAACGGTCTTATACAGATATTCGACTTTGTCTTCTTCGGACCGGTGAGTTCGTGGCCCTTGAGGGGCAAATATCGTGATAATCTCACGTAACTCTTCCAAATATTCGGCTGTGTTGAGCTTTTTAGTACGCATCAAAGATTGAATTCGTAGGCTTTGAAGATACTTACGAATTCTGTTCTGCCGAGTAGTACTGTTGTATTCCTCTTGCATAATTTGACAAGCTTGACCGAAATTCCCACATCTGTCTCTCACCTTCTCTCGACATAATCTTTTTGCTTCTCCATCGAATATGTTGTGAAAAAAAGCAAGTTTGTTGCCTTGGTCCAGGCTATAGTCCTGAGCAGTATCAATGTAGTTGTTGATGTGTTCTGTGAGATCCTCTCCCAGTTTTCCCGTGAATTTGTCCTGATTATTGAATCGCAAAGCCATGTTATGTGCGGTTCTTGATTCAGAATAACGACTTCCAGGGTGATGAACTTGTAGTGGAAGAGAAGTGTCACTTTCTTGAATGGTAGCTGGTTTCGCCCGGCTGCTCTTCTTATGTTGTACCAGTCGTTCGAAGGCGAAATCGATATCGTCTTTATCCGAATACAACATTTTGACTATTCCCCATGAAATGCGATCAGTGGCTGGATGTCTGTTATACTCTACGCCCTCTGCGCGTAAAAAATCACGGATAATTCTGAACACAAACGTTGTACCCCTTAGTATGTCATAAGAGTACAGTGATTCGACAGGGATATCTTGACGAAGATTTTCGGTTATTTCTGCGTCCAATTCGTCCTCCGATTCTCGGCGAGTGATGTGTAGTCTGATGACTAATATAATATCTTGATGGACTGCCGATGGTGGCTCATACGATTTGAGATCCTTCTTAAGGGTCTCCAGTGCTGCCTGGTCAACCATGGTCTCTTGTCAGGATAGAATGTCGAATCTGTTTTGGCAGTTCAAATTAGTTGTACAAGTGCAACACTATTTCACTAATAATCGTCTCTCACACGTGTTGGCGGTATAGCTATTGTCAAACGTGTAATACGTTTTGCGTAGCAATTTATGAGAGAGGCAAACAATTGAAAAATGGTCGCTAGATGGTGCCAGAATAATTCCAAAAATGTTTCAAGAAATATGGCATCAAATTTAAGAAAGAAGAATTTCAAAACTGTTTAAAATTTTTTTATTTTTTAAACTTGACGTGTTAGTTCACGCTCGCGCGCAAAATTTGGGCGCGGCGGCGGTGAGAGGCGCCGATGAAGTGCGCGTCGAGGTCGTGCGCGGAGGGGTAAAAGCGCTCGCAGATGTCGCAGAAGAATTCCTGGGACTCGCGTTGATATCGGGCCTCGCGTGCGCGGTGTTTCTTGCCGCCCCTGTGTTGCCGGAGTTGGTGCCTGCCAGTGAGGGTCACTTTGCAAACGTCGCAAGTGAGCGGGGTAGCAGTAGCGGGGTTTTTTCTGATCCGCGCGGTGGCCACTCGATGTAGTGTTCTATTCACGCCTTCAGGCAGAATCCCCAAATTATGTTTTGCTACTGTAGTCCGAGTCTTAATTCGGTTGAAAACCCGAGATGCGCTGTCCACGGGTCCAGATTGGTCCGCGTGTAAATCGGATACACGTGTTGATTTCCCGTAACTCTTGTCTTCGGGGCGGGGTTGGTCTGCCGCGGTAGCCTTCTGTTTGATGAGATCCAAAACGCTGATAGAGTCCCCACCGTTGCTATCCCAGTTCACCACAGGCGTGCCGGGTGGAGGCCGTGCGCCTGGCTGGGACAAATCTTCTGACTGCTCTGCGGGGGCTTGCCGTGCCCCAAAGTCTTCCTCTCCTTTGGGTTTGAGTACCACTAAAATAGAAATTAGTTAGGCAACTAGATTCCTATTTTAGAGGGAGTGAAAAAATAAAGAACTTACTCTTTTACTATTTTCGGTGAGAGTTATACAAAAGAGGAAGATAGGTTTATCTCTTTCTTGATAAAACGTACTGCGTTAATATCAAGAAATAGATAGGAAGACCACTCTCTGAAAAAATCCACAACTTGAAAAACTTGAGGTTGAATTGATTTCTTGAGTGTGAATTGATTTCTCTTGAAAAACTTGAGGTTGGATTGATTTCTTTCTAGAAGAAACTAACTTGGCTTGAAGTCTAGACTGTGACGAAAATTAGAAAGAAAAGAAAGGAGGTGAGCAGTAAAAAATTCACCGGCAGGATTGGGCGAGCTGAGGGTCGCGTTCCTTTTACTGCGTTGGTTCTTTTTCTTCCTTTCTGTGTCCGGGCAGCTATTCTGCCGTTCACTTCCGGGTATTTATACTACTACCTACGCGTCTATTCTCTTGCCAACAGACTCTTCTCTTTGCAAACCTTTGCTGATAATCTCAAAGGATTGCATTATCAGTAATGTCGTTGGGAGAGATGCACTGTAGGTTGACGTCTGAAATAATCAAATACTACCGTTTTCAGTGCGGTTTAATAATTTGATGTATTTTGTCGAACTGTATACTGTACGTCACCGTCGACTCCCAAATTTCCACATGAGGAGATGAGAGCTTTGCGATTCCAAAAAAAGCCATACAGTCGCCATCAGTGGACCCAGTGCTTTCCAACGATACCAAGTAAGTACTACTGGATAGCTTCCGCAAATTACACTAAGTGTTTTTTGGTGGCAGGTGGGGCATTATTTGTGCCCCTTCTCTCGCAAATTGTGTGCTAAAAATGTTCCAGTGTCAAGCCGAACTAGCATGAATTATTTAGAATTATTCATGAAAATAAATAAGTTATTCTTTTTTCCCCATCCAAAGAATAAGTTATTCTTTAGGAATTATTTAAATTATTTAAATATGAATATATTTTTGATATCCTTTGGGGGTCAGAGACAGCCGAGCCCCCTCGGGGAAGTAGTACTTAATAGCCAACCCTCGGAGATAGACAAGAGGGGGGGCAGACGCAGCAATAAAGGAAATTGAGGGAGGATTCCCATTCAACAGGTTGCTCGGTGCCAGGCGGTTGAGATAATCGCAACATTAAACTGCCGACATGCTGGGGGACATGCGACCAGGTGAGCTCTCGGAGAGCGATTGTGCAGTCAGTTTCTATGAGCCCGGTAGTGCGCCGCCGGCTAGCGTTGGTCCGCCGGGCTGTGGCAGGGGCAATGTTATAGGTGCCGGTCCTGGTGTCGCGGGCGCAGGTTCAGGGGCGGAACAGTGCATAGTGCTGCGGTGCACCTGTCAGGTCTGTGGGCCGGTTACGCATATTCTGTGTTTCGGTGCGTAGGTGATACCAGCGGAAGGGCAGTTTGCCTTCCTACTAGTCCCTGGACCAAATCAAACCTGCTGCCTTCTCCAACCCTCACCGGCCCTATATGCTTCCTGCCCACTTCCAGCCTTCCCTTTCCAAGACTGGTAACACAGTAACCGTCCGCATCGCACGAGATTACGCTCCGCTTCATAACCTCCACAGGTATTTCGGCAATCTGCTCAGTGCCCCTCGATATGCTGGACGACCTCTGCATCTTGAAAAAACACCCGCTATCCTGTGCGTAGGGCACCAGTTTCTTCGGCTCCTGTCCACACATCAGCACCGCCTCCTCAGACATATTCAGAAGACGTGCTATATCCCCGAGGCACTCGACCTCACTTGCCTTATTCCACATCGTGCTCCACACTCTGAAGACGGTCTCCACGGACGGCATGAATATGTCTGACTTGCGAGTTTCCACACAGAACCTAGCTTCAGCGTGAGTGGAGAGGTCCTCGTCGGCCCACTGGCTGACAAAACCAGATGAGTTGTCCCTTCCAATTATAACATAGTCGAGACCATCTCCCCGGCTTGCCTCTACCGATCTCCGGTCTAGCCAGATTGACCGCCTAGAACAGTCCCATAGATCACTGCTGTATACCCAGACCGGCATACCAACAGCCTCACTGACACTGCGCAACTCCACTAGCTCCCACCACATCTCGTACGCGATTGTCCCGCCGCGCATGAAACAAGTGTTGTTCCTAGTGGGGTTCGTGTCGAACACTTTCCTCAGCCCAGCGACATGCCCAACTGGAACCATCACCTTCGAGATTAGCTCTTGGGGTCCATAATCGCCACGCCTGTGTTCTGCGGTCCATTGCCATATGTCGGCTTCCGGCAGGCCGACCAACTTCTGGCCCTTATACACCTTACCTCCGTACCACGGTAACGGCACGTCAATCAGGACGTTCCCGGCTTCCATCTCCCCCACACTCGATACCAGCTTGATTATCCCGTGCGACTCTGCCTCGTACAAGGTCTGGTAGATCTCACGTGATCTATTGATCCATGACGGCCAGCTCCTGGTTGAGGTCTCATACCAGTTTTGGGTCGGTAATTCTGACACCCGGCTGACCTGCATCTCGGCGGCCCCAATAGTGAATATGACCGTGCCGCCCCTTACGAAAATGCCTGCTCGGTCCGCGGGCCTTTCACGCGTTATAGGTACAGCAAACCCTAGATCACCGCACCTAAACGTCCTGGCCAATAGGGACGGTCCGTCGGGGATGCCCCACTCTTCGCCACCAAGGCGGCTGCTGCACCCCATCGTCCGGAGGTCGCCCACCATCACCTCTATACTCGTATTCTCGAAGTCGTATTCACGTGAAGGGTCACGGTACCCTATGTCCACCACTATTCCTAAGCTGCCCTCTGAGCTCGTGTCACTCCAACTGCAGTCTGGCTCGGGGGGGGTGCCGCATGTGCAAGATTCGTTACTTCCAACCTCGCCGGCACCACCACAGAAGCCGCAGACCCCGGACGCACTTCCAACACTTGCATACAGCCCACTGGTATTGTGTCCTTCCACACCCCCCTGACTCCGCTCTGGGTCTGGAGGGTGGCTTGGGCATGTCCAGTGGCGCTCGCACATGTTGCATTGTTCGCACGACCACAGTTGCGGACACCTACTTGTCCGCCCACTCGATGTATGGCACCCGATCTCCCTTCACCTTTGTGGGACTCTTCTGATTGTTGTGGGGCACTTCCCCACTGGCTACAACCGCCTTGCTGGACCTCCAGCCCGGTTGGAGCAGCGTTGTTATGGCTGCCTATGCAGTCCCTGCGCGACCGGTTCACCGTTCACGCCCTCGTCAGGGATTTAACCTGACGGCACTGGCTCTGGTACCTCCCGTACCTGGTTCACTCTACAACCCCCTCAGCGTACGTACTGCCGTGTGCTATCTACGCAGTGTCTGATAGGGCAACTCTAAACTGATGAATGAAAATCTGCAGAATTCTTCGAATGTTGTTTCTTTTCATTCATCCTACAGTTTGCGATGCACAACCAGAAATCCAAATCACACATCGTGTACACCTGTACAGCATCACCTCTCCAAAAAAAAGGTTTTACAAATCAACCTTTTTTTAGACAGTTCACTTTGACGATACTGTTACGGATGAACCCAGGTGCCAGGTGGCAAGGTGGACACGCGTAAGGCGAATCAAAGCGGACACGGCCGGAACCGAGGCGTACCAACCGAAAGGCAGTAGAAGTGGCGGGATCATGCGCGTGGGGAACTGTCGGCGATAGACAGAGGGAGAATGAAGGGAAACCCGTGGCTGCGAGGGAACTTGGACCGGGACAAGAAGACGGGGGAGGCCACCGGCCGTGTGGGTGGAAGGAAAGGAGCAGGAGGAGGGCGCCAGGACTGGGGCAGAGGGAAGCTGAAGGGAAAGGGGGCGCCAGGAGAGGTCGGGGGAAGAGAGGACAGCCCCCGGGCATAGATTACTTAAGAGCCGTCCCTGGAGCAGATAGGGAAGGGGAGGGCAGCAGACTTGTGAAGAATAAAGACGAAGACGAGTGGATTCTCGTTGGCACAGGTCGCTCGGTATCTCGCGGAGGAATTGCCGCAACAATACTGTACTGCAATCATAGAGTTGCTTGCAACATGAGACGCAACATGACAATTTTTTGTGGTGAGCCTTTTCAGGTGCAAACTACGGTACCACCCCATGGTAAGGCAGCGTCATTAATTTCTCCCTCTCCTCTGCTGCACTATGAAGAGCGCAGCACATACTATCACTTGAACAAAAGGTTCCTTCAATTTTTCTCAACATTTTTCGAGTCACTGGACAATAACCAATCTTTACATGTAAACCGAACTCTTACAAGCCCTAGCTAGTCAGCTTTACTCCATTCTTCTAACGCTTGCTAAATGAAAGGAATAAATATGAGAGTTCCCAGATTCGTTAATCTGCAGTCCATGTCCAAATGGTGAGGCTAAAATCGCTACTGGTCGCAGATTTCAAGACAGAGTCGGAACTTACATACGTAGAAGCGTTGCTATTTGGAAACCCATCATGTTCCGTAAGTGCCATGTAGAGGCCGAAACACGCTGTCACAGGTAAATATTCACTTTATTCATTGCACTCACTCACTGACTCTTGAAATGCTGATTAAGATGGCACTTTCTATCCGTGCCTCTTCCCACCTCCTTGTCAACAAAATCAAACATCCATCCAGTTTCAGAAAACAAATCGGTTTCCCTCCCAAACTTGTTCACGGATGATATAAATGTCCGGACAATGTCTCGTAAGGCAATCCTCTGTTCCTCTGCAGTGCTGGTAGTCTCTTCAGTCAACGCAATAGCCTTCAACACGAACGATTGAGCGTATTGGATATGGCCATCTCTTTCGAAAGGACGGCATAGCTTTGTGGTAGCGCTAACCATAAGATTCACGTATTCACATTGCATCAGTCGTAAGATCTTCTTGTCTTGCGGTGTTTTCGTAATTCTTGATGCAAGTCTATCCAAGTCACCATTTTCTTGAGACATGTCGCTAATTCAGTGCCACAGTGGTGCTGCACAAAAAATATTCTGAGAAGAGAAGGCCTCCAATCTTCGCAACTATAAACAGAATCGCTGATTTGCAATCAGGACCCACCCTCTCTTCTTGAACTCATGATATGATTCCAGTACTAACTTTTTTTTCACTCGCGCTCGAAAGTTTAAAGTACCACGACACGCAACTCGCGAGAGATGGTGTATCTATACGCGCTTCGAGAGAAAATAAAAGTCGATACACTCCGATTCATCAGATGCAACTAATTTTCAATACTTTGTGTGTCGTCATAATTCCCCTTTCTCTGGAGTTTGCAGCCATATATGGACTTTTCGTTTTCGTTGCAGGCAGCATGGGCGCAAACCATTGCTTTGATTTATGCGATTGGACATTTTGAATACTAATTCATCATGCAAGCTTCGCCTTTTGCATGTCACGTTCGAGGTTTTCAAGCGTTATTTTGCCTTTTCATGCGTTCTTTCTCGGAGTAATTACAAATCGAAATCTCGGACGTTGTCCTGCCAGATTTTCGCGGGAGCGGATGTCTATGCGTTTTGCAATTTTTGTCAAGCATAAACCTTGTGTTCAATAAGAAGACAATTGTACCAGAGCATTGCCTTTGTGATTGCGAAGGTTCGAAAGGTATCGAAACAAATCTGTCCATCATGAGTTCCAAACCGAGCCCCATCCCCACGGCCCTATTGATCGAAGCACGAAACAGGATGGTTGCTTTGACAATGAAACACTGTCGCCCGTCGGAGTATGAAGCATATGAACATGTGGCAAAGCAGCACATTGAAGCCATTGCAAAAGACCTAGAGGCTCAATTTGCAGAACTCGGGGGCCCAGTCATCGGAAAAAATCCCTCTATACAGTCAGCATTTCATGATATTATTGAGGAATATAAGTTTATAGGAGACCTTTTCACTGCGGCGTGCCCTGTTCATCGGCAGATTGAACATATGCTGAGCCATCCACATGCTGATCCTGTGGTTATGAACTTGCACAAGGAAGTTGCAATTGAGCTTGAATCGACTCTGGAGATAAAAGAACTTGAAGCGAAGTCTCATAAGGCTCTGAAGGCCCTGAAGGAAACACGAGGTGCTTAAGGTCCTCTTATCCAGATGATACCGCGAAAAACATGGATTTTAAAGTTCCAATTTTCTGTCTGTGTAACTGTAAACAGTGAACTGTGTCATCAATAAAATACCGTACCTTTGTGCCCCTCCGTGACCTCATTCGTTAAATGCACACACTCCTCTATATCTTCTCCACAGGATTTAACCTTGGCACACAAACCAAGTAGACCAGCCCCTTTGTGCGCAAGTTACTGCTTACCAATGTACCATACAATGGTAAGCATGATCCTCACTTTAACGCTGTTTGCAAGTCTAAGCAAGTCGCCAGGAGGGGGCGCAGTATACTACATAAAATCAGCGGAGAGGTCTAAAAAAGCGCTTCGGCTCTTGATTCTCACGAGTTTTCGCAAGCCTCTAAGGCCTTGCGTGCGCTATTGCGGCAGCCGCTGTCTTGCGTGGTAGAAGTTCGTGTGTGGAGTTTCAGTACAGTGTAGAGCCTTCCAATTTGAAAGGGACGCATTGAGGATGCAAGGAAAGGGCGTCTTCACTCGTTCCGTCACCCGACGAGTTAGTAGTCTTCCTCCCGTTGCGTTGCGCAAGCACGCAAAAAGGCGGAACCGCAGTGATAGCACTCGCACGGGAGGCGGGGGTACTCTGGACATGCTTTCACAGAATCTTGGAAGTGGTCTCTGTTACCTCTTCCGAGATTCTATGCTACTACTCCGCTACGACGGCAGGCGACATGGATATAATTGGCAGTGAACTGTTTTAGGAATTAGAAACGATACATTGCATCGCACTGAAAGAGACGCTCCAAATGAGAAATCAGGAAAAGGGTGTCAAGAACACTACTCTGCGCTAGCTACCATACGGGCTGACGAAAAACATCTTTTGAAGAAGACGGGACAAGCATCACCCAAAATACCCCGGCGACCAGCCCACGCAAGACAGACGCACCACGAAACTGGCGAAAGCACCATGCAATAGACTAAAAAGAAAAAGCCAGAAGGCACAGTGCTTTCGATACATGAGATGACAGGGGACCCCCAGTAAGCAAGTTACCTAGTTTTCAACATATAGTTGACACAAGATTTAGAAGCACTTGCGGTGGACAACAGACGGGCCCATCTCGTCGTACTCGGTCTTAGACACCCACATCTGCTGGAAGGTGGAGAGAGATGACAAAATGGAGCCACCAATCCAGACGGAATACTGGCGCTCCGGCGGGGCAATAACCTTAATCTTCATGGACGGCGGGGCCAGGGTCTCAATCTCCTTCTGCACACGGGAAGCAATACCGGCGAACATAGTAGTACCACCGGACATGACAATGTTGCTGTAAAGATCCTTACGAATATCGATATCGGTCTTCATGATGGAGTTAAAGGCAGTCAAATGCATACCATCCATTTCAATACCCAAGAGCTCCGGCTTGAAGAGGGCCTCCGGGCACTGGAATCGCTCAGCCTCGACAGTGATGACCTGACCGTCCGGAAGTTCGTATTCCTTCTCGAGGGAGGAGTTGGAGGAGGCGTTGGCGAGCTCCTTCTCGTAGTCCTCAGCAACGAAGCACAACTGCTGCTTGACATCACGCACAATCTCGAGCTCGGCAGATGTGGTGAAAGAATAGCCGCGCTGCATGAGAAGCTTGGCCATCCACCCAGTAAGATCGCGGCCAGCGAGATCAATACGGAGCACAGCATGAGGTAGGGAATAACCCTCATAGATGGGAACAGTGTGAGTGACACCATCACCTGAGTCCAGAACGATACCGGAGGTACGGCCGGAGGCATAGAGGGAAAGGACAGCCTGGATAGCGACGTAGAAAGCCGGAATGTTGAAGGATTCGAACATGATCTGAGTCATGCGTTCACGGTTAGCCTTGGGGTTGAGAGGGGCTTCAGTTAGTAGAACGGGATGTTCCTGGGGATCGACACGAAGCTCAGAGTAGAAGGCATGGGACCAGATCTTCTCCATGTCGTCCCAGTTGGTGACGATACCGTGCTCAAGCGGATACTTGATGATGAGAACACCACGGCGGGCCATGGCGGCGTCACCGACGTATTCATCCTTTTGGCCAGTACCAACCATAATTCCCTGTTGCGTATCATCAATAAGGCAGTAAGAGGCGATACCAATTAGAGTTGTTAGTAGCGAGGAAACAAACTCGGAATGGGACGAAATTAACGCAGATCGGAAGAATGCAGAACGGTGTGAAAGTTACCTTCTGCTTCGGCTTGCCGATAACTGCAGGGAAGACGGCCTTCGGGCAGTCCTCACCGGCGATACCGGTCTTGCAGCGACCAGAGCCATTGTCGATGACAACCGCGGGCTTCGACATGATGATTATCCGAGGTGTTTAGGAAGTAGAAACGGTGCGAAAGTGGGCAAGGAGTTTGTGGGTCGATCAAAGTACGGGGGGGGCTGATGCGCAAGGTGCGAGTGTATCTATGCTATGGGGATGAGGGGTTGAGTTGAGTGCAGGGAAAGTAAGTACGGAATCGGGGGCGAGCAAAATGGATCGTAGTGTAGGTTACGGGAGAGTCTCAAAGAAAATAATTGCTGCGTCGCTGCAGGGGTGGGGAGGGGGGGGACCTGGGGCTTAATTATGTGATTTGGAATCGAAAAGCGGGGGGGTTGGAACGAGGGGAAGGGTCCGAGAGGCGGTGGGGCATGCGGGGGACGCCGGAAGATTTCGTGGTGAGCAGTCTTGGAAAGGCGGAAATGCCGAATGCAAGCCGGCGGTCGGCAAAGTCTGTGCAAGCTGCCCGATACGAAATCGCGAGAGAAATGCAGCAATCGGTCCGGGTGCTCCCGCCGGCGACGGGCCAAATGCAAGATTAAACGAGCGGGGCTTACACGACAACAGGTGGAAGGTGGACCGCGGGCCACCGGACCCTAGACGTGGACGGCTTACGTGGTGCGGCTTGCCGGCCGGTGTCAGCCGTCCTTGATGAACGCTTGTTTTCCCGCGCAATGCGCCCCGCAATGCCTGCCACGTCCGCCCTTCACTGTGGCCCCGCCCAATGCCCATCGCACAAGTGGAAGCGGCCCGCCGTCGGCCGCCTCTGCCGCGTGCGCTTTCGCTTCGCCACGCGGCAGTTGGCGCCTCCAGCGGCCGCTGTGATTCGCGTTGAGACAGACGACTTTTCTCCTGACCACACATGCACCACGGTTTTCGCCGTTCGCCTCTCCCCCCTTCCAGCCATTCTCCACGTTGACCCATTCGGCCCGTACACTATTCCCCCCCACTCCTCTCTTCGCTTCACTCCACGTGCAAAAGAATCTTTTTGTCCCCATAATTAGGGTGTTTGAGACTCTTGAAATGGCGAGCCAAACACCAATCCAAACACCAATCCAAACTCCTCGAAACTTCCACGCAATACTGTTACGATGACTGTTACGATGACCAACCGCCACTTCATCCGTCAATAAATCATATATTTCCAGAATAATTTCGCACAATCGCTATCCCATTACCTGTCACAAGAGCGGATCGTTCAGATCCCGCCATCCAATGTTTGCATTTTGCAGTGTAAGAAAAGAGAGTGTCTGACAGTGGAAGCCGTAAACAACTGCGGACCACGGTCCGGACGAATTTTCAAACGGTGAGAAATTTGCTGTAAACAGGGATCATATTCGTGACGTTCGACTTGCTGATCAGCAACCGACCAATGGCCACCTGTTTTGTCTATGGATCCAATGGGAGCCCGCCAATACAACGTGGAGAACAGTTTCCAATGTTGTGCTTCTCCGCCATAAGGGCTATCAGAGCGTGGACTGCGGTCTCGCATGTTCTTGTGTATTTTTTCCGTTGAAAATATCCCCTTTGCCTGTCGGGTAATGTCGGCCATCCATTCCAGCTGTGTGTGCAACGTCTTTTCGCGTCATATTCCCGGGCCCTCTCCTCCTCGGCTGTCATCCCACTTTGCAATGCCGCTCCCTGACACTGTGACCGCACCGCCAAGACTGCAACAGAGTCCGCCCCATCGTTTCCGCAACCTTTACGGTGCAGTACCCTTGTACAACAACTTTGCCTTCCCCACTCCATCCACCCCACTGCAGTCACATCACAGGCGGTCGCCTTGCCCTGCCGCCCGGCAACATCGTTTTCCTTTTTGCAGTCTTGGCAAAGCCACAGCCTTTCTCTAAATGGAGCCACTGCATTTTCGACTGTAGATTAACCGTCCTTTCGTGCCCCCTGACTAGTCCTTCACCATTTACCCAAACATAATTTACGTATCGTTCTACCACCAACTGTGTCGTACTGAAAGAAATATACAAAGCGAAACAACCCCTTTCGAACTCTTGACCCCTACAGACCCCGGGTCAGCTCTCCCCGATACAGCGGCACACCCTCTTCCGCCGGCGCATCCGTTGATCCAACGTCCCCGGGAGGCGATTCCCCTCCAGATCTAAATGCCGCGCCAACAACTACCGCGCGGCCGTCAAGGATATTTAACCGCACAACGCGAGTCACATCCTCACCACGGGCGTGCCGAAGACCGCGAACAATCTCGTGAGACCTCTCGCGTCTCAGCGTCATGATAATTAGAAGGCGCACAAGCATCCGGCGCATGACCCTGCCTCGCGAGGCCGCACACGCCGGTGTAAATTTTTGCAAACCCCCTTCGTGCCTTGTCAATTGCAGGCAGCATACCTGTAGACCCTCGCGGTTTCTCTATGCCTTCGCTTCACACCTACGCCGATGCGGGGGCATCGCCGCTTGTATTGGTTCTATGCAGTATGTGACGTTGTCGACAGAATCTGTCGAGGCGACGACAAACGTCCTCTCGGCAGATCTCTTTCGTGACGCGATTACAATCACGCAACGACAGGATGCGAGACCATGCCCTCTGGCCTCAACAACGGCGTCGAATACCTGCATGCCAAAGTCCGGAGTCCGGAATCAAAGCTCTTCGACGCCGTGCCTGTCCACTGCCTCACGATTTCCCCAACGGGGCCTGCACAAGCATCATGGGCTGTGCGGCTGCCCCTGTTAGCGCTTCTCGTTGCCGTGCAGCACAACGTACCCTTCGTACCCTTCAAGGGTCATCGCATCGCGTCACCCTCCATGCTGGAATCCCCTCCCGCACCTCTCCACTTTCCGTGCTCTCTCCACGTTGTTCGAAATCCTAGAAATTGGACCGCATTTCACATACTCAAGGGTACTGTATGTTTCACTGGCAGGGCACCCCCCCTTCTTGATGACACGCGGCAGCATCAATTGACAGAAAACGAAAACAGAGGCCAGTTGCCTCTGTTTTCGTTTGGCAGTCATCCATCATCACTGCAGACTCTGCAGCGATGATGGATGACTGCCAAATTGATTTAAAAAACTGCTTTGAACGGATACAGCACAATATTGTACTGTACACGTGTACTGTACCCACACTGTCCTGTCCCATCTATGCGTGTGATACGTGTACATATTTCGCGCAATTATGCCTTCTCCATTTGTCCACATGTTTATGGGTGAGCTTGATCCACCATAACACATTCAACTACATCTATGAATCTCTAATTAGACATGAAGAGGTTGGCACTCATATTAATTGAATTAAAACAGTTTGTTTGAGTGTTTGCTCTTGTTGAGAATACAGCCAACGAGGCTGCTCGATCTCTAAAGTACAAACCTTCTTCATGCAAACATGCAATCCCCGACTCAACTGCGAGTTAGGAACGGCCCTGAGACCCGTCAGACCCGTTCCAGAGTCCGGGATGATTCAAGTCTCTTTCATTTCTGTAGCACAACGTCGGCAGCAACGTTCTAGCCTAGAACATGTCTATGCTGACATCAACTCTACCTCTTCTCTTGTCAACCTTCTCGCCCTCCTTGCTACCTCAGAAAATTTCCCTCCTGCTCTCCGTCAATTTTTTGTCCAGTAATGCAACGCACCTTCAGGTTCACTCTATACTCCACCCTGCCTGTCAAAAGACTATCTCTTCTTCCCCATCTTCACAACCTGATTGGCAGGAGTCATACGCATACATTTCATTCTGTTCCTGACAAAGCATGTCACCTCGGCGACGCTACCAAACCAATTCAAAGAATTTAGAAAGCCTTTCGTCACCCATCTCCGTCTTCGTCCACACCAGGTACACCTCCTGCTACAACTGTGCCTTGCGACCTTAAGCTAGTCATCACTCCTTGTCAACCGATATATACAATCTCAATCGTTGATCACGTTGGATAGATGACATTTCGACAAATGCTCTCTGCTCTGAATATTTCTCTGAGTGCACATTTTCAAGCTGCCCTTCCACCCACTGTTTGATAGTATGCGGACGTCTCGTCTTTAGTCGGTGCCATAATTTTCATAGGACCCTTCCTTTCGATGCTGCTCTCATCTTGATGTGCAAGTTGAGCTGAGACTGCTCCATAACGCAACTGCAGTCTCCAGCCCTCCTTTCGATCCCCTTCAACCTTCCTGAATACTTATGCCCTGCGCTTTTAGCAGTCAATGGCTTCTGCCCTGTCAAAATTCTCTGTGGAAGCTGAGCCTTTTGCTCTCGTTCGTATTCAGGTGCTCATTTCGTCAACATTTTCTTCGCTTCTAATAATACAATACGACAATGAATATGTTGAACGAAGGGCCTCATTCTGTTGTTCAAACCTCTTTTGAAAACTCTCCCCGGCATGACCAAATCAAACCATTCCCTTTGGACACTGCTCCCTTACCAGCAGAATTTTCCATATCAGAACTTATTGATGGCACCACTTCAACTACAAATTCAAAGACAACAAACGTTCTAATCTCCAGCAACACTCCAGAAAGGAATGATATTGACGAACATTGTGCTGGTATCGAAATTGAGAATCTACTGCCCGATGAGTTCGGCTGTTTCAGCACCTATAATCCGTCTATAGATTTCGATGAATCCATTGACATCCAGGATGCGAAGGGAGTCTTTCAGAATAACGAAGTCAAAGTATCCGATGAATTTCCTCTTTCCGGTGAAGTGCAAAAAAGGAGAAGGATAGATTCAAATGGAACCTATGCAGCAATAGACGGGCAACTCCATGCCCGAGTTGCGGAAAATCAGGCAGCTACTCTTTTTTGCCAACAAAACGAATTGCCATTCGAGTTTGGCACTATTGAAGACAATAACGTGCAGGCTTTTAGTGAATTGCAATCCCATCAGAACAGCGGATGCTCCCTCGGCACCGCCTTTCCAGGCGTAAAGCATGAATCTAAACCCATTCAAGCGGCAAAGGTCTCTGAAACCAGAGCAAAGCCCGACAACGTCGTTGTCTTTAAGGTGCCAACACCCTCGATGAGGAGCAAATCTTTGCGGAAAAGTGCGGCCTCTAACTCATCGATACCGCGTAAGCTGTCACGAGAATACATGGTTCAGACCTCGGATGAGGCACAAGCCCCTAGTGGAGTTGATGGACTCCCGGAATTGCTACCACCACCACCTCCAGATGAATTCTTCAAGTCAGCAACAGATGCCCAAAAGTTTGAGGCTGAAAGCGATATTGCTCTCAAGCACGGGTCTTGGAACGATGCTCATAAGCTGGATCTCCAACGCCGTGATAAACAGCAATCACTTGGGCAGCACTCACAATTCAGGTCAGATCAAGGAAATCGGCCCGAAGCACTCTCCTCCCCCCCTCAACAAGAGCAAAGATACTTATCGCAAATAAGAACTCCTCAAAATGCGCATAAGCGACATGTTTTGGGGGAGCAATTCTACCCGTCTCTACTCACGACCCAGGCGTACGGTTCGGAAAGCTCAAGTGCAGCAACATTGCAGCCGGTCTCTCACACGGTATTCTTACAAAAAGACAATGCCGGGTGGAAGAAGAATGATGAGCCTCACAACTACACAAGTTTTTTTGATCATCGCAATGACAAGAGTCTTGAAACCCCTCACTCCTCTTTGCTCTACCCCAGATCCAAGTGGGATTTTCATAAATCAGTAGGAAATGAGATTGAGTGGTCGGGAACATCGGAGTTGTACCATTCTAGGAACAGTGACCACTTAAGACAGACTCATCCAGGCAGAGATGCAAATATCGGAAACGGAGCTTCGCATCTCAAATCCAGAAAGAGAAATGCCGATCAAGCTTTGCATGGGAAAGCCCCAGATAGTGCAGTCGAACAAATCCATTTAGATGAGAACGGTCGAACTCGCAAAAGGAGACGAACTAGAGTTGAAGACTTGGATCCGTCCGACGTGTATGTCTGTTCCTTTGAGGATTGTCGCAAAAAGTTTGCCAAAAAGTATAACCTGAAGATTCACGAGAGGCGTCACCGAGGAGATCTTCCATTTATCTGCCCGCAATGCGCGAAAAAGTTCATGTGGCAATCAAGCTTTGAACGACATTTGAGGGTTCACGAGGCGCGGGCTGCAGCATCAGCAAGAAGACTTCGCAGGGGAAAGGAGCCTAACAATTTCAGACAAGAAGAAAGGACAATCAAACATGAATTTCTGAGAACTTCGGATTCCACTTGGAAACTCACCTTAAATGGTCTCAACACAGTAGTAAATCGAAACGACCGCGCATCTGTAGTCCTTGCAATGTCGCTTTGCACCCTGAATTGCATTGACTCTACAGTAGTGCTTGACGCTTTAGTGGTTGAGAAGGAAAACGAATATGCTATTCAGAGTTGTTCGCCGGACATACCAAACGCTGTAGAAGAGGAGGGGTCAAATGGCAATGGCATGGAACTCCATTCAGGTATCGAAGATTTGACTAAAGTTCAGTTCATGTCAGAACCCTCGTCTTTGGGCAGGGAGATTACAGGAAAGGATGGTTTCTTCCTTCAAGAGTTGACGCCTGGCGATGAGAAACTAGAAATTACCGATCCTAGTGAGTTGGAATAAGATTCTTGTTCCTGCAAGCAATCGACGGGTTTGCCTCATTCATGAACGCCAAGTCTTGGCCTGATATGTGACTTGTTTTCGTGAATACGAACGTGAAGCTTTTCAAACCTTCTCTCTCTTTGATACATTTGTATCTTAGCTATGTCCCGGGCCTCTTTGCTTAGTTGTGAAGGTCAATGTACATACTATACTGTTTAGTGCCTACTTTTCTAAATCCATATTTCAACTTTCGCCGATACGAAATGCATGAATATGTAGTGTAGGCGCACTGAATCAATGTCCGGCTCAGATACGCAGATACCAAGAATATTCAGGATCAAGGCAAAAGGCAGAGCTAGTCGGGTTTCTATGTATCAAGAAAATACCGCGCCTTATCCGCGTGCCTTCGCGGCAATCCTGAGGCGATCCTCAGTCATGGTGTAGTGTTTGCGCGCTGGCGGATGCCTTCTAACTCAAGGGAATTCTCCTATCGGGAATATTTCGACCCTGCGAAATCCACGAATCCGCGCGCGGTGGGAGGATGCAGCTGGGGTTCGTGACAAGAAGCTCAGTTGCTTTGGCTCGGTACGAGTGGAGCCGCCGAAGAGACGCGGTCATGCTTTATGCGGAAGTATAACTGCGTATTGTAGCGTTTGTAGAGAAGCGTCGATTCTTTGGCACAAGTGAAACGTGCACGCGGTGAGGCTCATGAGGACGGATAAGCGCGTGGGGGGGTGAGGCGATTAACTTTTGAGCGGTACAATGAGAAACGAAAATATGTTCAACACGAAAACGACGTTTCCAAAAAAAAACAAGAAAAAGTGGGCACGACCACCTCTTTTGATCCGCCGCTAACCCTCTGCCGGGGCTTAAGAGACACGGGAGCTCTGCCATCTCAGGCCTTTAGCAAAAGTCAACAGTCCATCCGGTGCAATTCAGACAGTGCAGCCGCGAAATAACTACCGACCGGGGTCCACGAAGACTTCAATTGTTGATGTAAGCACCTTCAAATTGCGCACTCATTAAATCGTTCACAAGCGATACCAGCGCATGCCCGTCGCTGCCACATCCCGTCAAGAAAAACAGTATCAACGCATCCGTTTATGAAAGTCTCTCTCAATGTCGGTTGAGGAGTCCGCCGAGAAAATATTTGTCTACTTGAGCGATGGGCTCAGCGAAGATTCTACTCGACGCCGGCGAGCCGAGGTAGCTCTTCGGGAGGCCGAAGAAAAGCAAGACTTTTTCGCTTCTCTCGCGATGATAACGGCTGCGTCAGACGCAGACGCCCCACCAAATGTTCGATGGCTTGCTGCTGTTTGCGGGAAGAATGCAGTTTCAAGAAGCTGGCGACGCCGCACGCATCCGAATGCCGTCACGGAGGACGAGAGGACATATGTGAAGGACACTTTGTTGCAAAAGCTAGGGGAGCAACATAGCACAGTTGCGATACAAATATCGGTGTGGGTATCTAGAATCGCGCGCATTGACTTTCCGAATGGATGGCCGTCTCTAATTACCGATCTGTGTGAAAAAGTGAAGTGCTCTAATGAGCAGGTGATGTTTCATTCATTGTCCACTCTTGACCTTGTTATTGAGGGAATATCTAGTAAGCGACTGCATAGTGATCGCAAGCGGTTCTATCAAGTGGCCCCAGCGATCTTCGGAGCGCTGTATGAGCATTTTGTCGTTCATTTGCAAACACTCATCCAGAATCCCAATCGCCAGGATGGCATGAAGAAGTCTTTTTCAGTCGTTGAGAAGTGTTTAGAGTGTTTCCAAAAGCTTGTTAACTATGGCTCTGAGAGAATCACCGCATTTCAACACTTGCCATCTGTCTTCTCTAAATTTATAGATATGCCGGAGCTCTTCCTCAGAGGTGCGGCAGGTGGCACCGAGCTGCAGTTGAGACTCAGTCATTTGGCTGCTGAGCTGATCGTAACGACGCAAAAGCGAGACCCTGTTCACTTCCAGGAGTTTCTTCCAAAGTTTCTGGAAATTTACTACAACTGTCTGATGGCGTTCAGATTTGGTACTTCTGATGAGTCTGCATGTTTTCAGGCTGCTCTCTTCGTGAGAAATGTCCTCGAATGTCCAGACTACGACCTTGGAAGTGCTTCTTTTGCTGAGTTCAAGGCAAAACGTGGTACCGGAGTGAAAATGCCGGATGGTGTGTGCCCCCAAGCTTGTCGATATATATTGCTTTCGTTTTTCGATGAAAATCGGGTAAATGCCCTCATTGAGTCGTTGATTTCCAACGTGTTTATCCTCAGCAATCGAGAACTCGAAACATGGGCAAACGACCCGGAAGCATTAGTGAGAGAAGAAGATGCGGCAGATTGGGGAACAGAAAGTTTGCGAAAGGAGTCGGAGGGGATCTTTTCATTATTGTTCCTTCGAGACTGGCAAAGAATCGCGCCAATGATCACGCGATTGACGGAATCCATACCTGCGGACAACCCATTGCTTCTTGATGCGTGCTACCGTGCCCTCGGACGTGCCACTCGAGATTGTCGGAATGCCTTCAACTTGGCAGACTCTTTGAATGGGAAGCTAGGAGCGATTCTCAAAGCAGATTGTAGCAAGAATCTTGGGGAACGTATTATACAAGCGCGTGCAGCATGGCTTATAGGTCAGTGCGCCGAACAGGTTTCACGAGAATTGCGACAAATTGTGAACCCGTTGCTGGTACGACTCATGGGGTTTACGGATGGGGACCTGGTGATTGCGTTGACGGCGACGAAGACGATTCAACATCTGGCAGAGGACCTCGGATTTCACTCGGAGGACTTTGCTCCGCAACTTTCTACTTGCGTTCTTCACTGTTTTCGGCTGGTGAACATCGCAGAAACTTATGCGACGAAACGTGACCTCCTTGGGACAATCGTGAGCCTTATCCGTCGATCGAACGCGCAATACGTAGTTCCGCTCATTGAGAGCGTGGCAAACGTACTTACACCGTTGTGGAGAAGTCGGCAGAATGGCGGAGGCAGTTTTCAGACGTCGGGTGAGAATTTCAATGGGACGGGAATTGAAATGGGAGAAGGAGGTGAAAACCTGCTGCGAGTGGCTATAGCCGAGGTGCTCGTGGCTATGATCGAGAAAACTGGTGAGGCATCGATGCAGTCGTCTGGGCTGAGAACATTGTCGCTGGAGGTAATTGCGTTTGCCGTAAACGTGGAAAAAGGGATGGGTGGTTCGTACATGATGGAAGACGGGTGCGAGCTGTGGGCGGTCGTTGTGGAAGCTAGCAGTGAGTATTCGGAAGAGCTGGCAAGGCTATTTCCTCAAACTGAGAGAATCCTAGGGCTTGACTTTGACTACCTGCGGGAAGTATTCCGCCTGCTCGAGGGGTATGCGCTTCTCGGAAGGGAGCGGTTCATGAACCAGTACGGGGCGGCGATGCTTGCAACGCTTCGGCGGGCGCTGGGGTCTGTACGGGACCGGGGTTGCCTAGCGGCAGTGGAGGTGTTAGACGTGATTCTGCTTTTGTTCCCGAGCGAGGGAGTGGGGTTCTTGGCGCCCATTTTGCAAGACGCGCTGCAAAAGATCATAGAGAATGAGGAAAGCCAGGTGGTGAGCGCGGCGTACACCGGACTGATTGCGCGGGCGTGCCTCGTGAAGGTGGGGGACTTTGAGGGCCTGGTGTTGCAAGGGAACGAGATGGCGGCGGTGGAGGTCGTGGAGGCAATGCTGAAAAACCTGGACTCGATGTACAAACTGCGGAGGCGGAAGCTGGTGACGGTTGCGGTGTGCGGCCTAGCGCGGCGTTACGGAAAGAGCACGAGCGTCCTGCAGCGCGTGCCATCCGTGCTGAACGCGGTGGTGCAGGTGCTGTCCGAGGAGCAGCATCGGGCGGGGCGGCACGCGACGGAGGAGCATCCCAAGGATTTTCTGAACGCGGTGGCGCGGTTTGGGGAGGGGGCCAGGGACGAGGAGGGGTTCACGGGAAAGGGGGTAGAGCTACCGGGGCAGAGGAGGAAGAGGGACATGTGGGACGGGGATGTCGTTGAGAAGGTGAAGTTGCGAGAGGTGTGCGGCGGGCTACTGATGGGACTCAAGGAGGATGGGGAGGAGAACTACCAGGCGATCTTGCGGGCGACGGACCCGGTTGTGCTGGCGCAGCTCGGGAAGCTTGTACAGCCTGATGGCACCGCCTCTTAAGGCGGGCGCTCGTTTACGGCGCTTGGGACAACTTGATAGGGCTCGTGCCTAAAATAAACTCCCCATCTCGCTCCTGATCCGCTCCCACAGCCAATCACAACGCGCCTCGCGGTCCTCACCCGCCACACGGTATTGGCCACACGACTCATTCCCCGTCCCAAAACACTCTGGAGGATCCTTTTTATCAACTGCATCCCCAGCATCCTCAGCATCGCCTGCACTCCTCCCTTCCCCCCCCCCCCTCCCCTACCTCCCCTCCCTCCCC